CGTGTGGGCAGGTTACATTCGGTAGCCTGCCAGGTTGTCCAAAGCAAGAATGAGATCATAAGATGTCGTGCAGCCACGCGCTTCCAGGAGCTGGGTTTTATAGTCTCTGGGTCTTGGCCGTTGATGGGATTACACAGTGCGGGGGGCGGGGGGGGGGGGGGTTGGTGGGTATGACCCCCGCCTACTGGAAGATGGAGTATCTGGGTAAATGTGCTATATTTAAATTCTTCCATTAGAAGAATATGTTTCAAATAATTTTGTAGAAGATATTTTTTTAATTTGTTTTGTTTGTTTTTGGGAGTCTCTCAAGTGGTGCTCAGGAATCCCTGGGGTCCTGCTTGACCATCTTCCATCACCAGAGCTCAATTGTAGTGTCTCACTGCAAGGTGTGAGGGTGTGCTGCTGTTAGCCTGCAATGTGGGGATTACATAGTTCTAGGGGGCTGCAGCCAGTTGTTCTCAGGAGATCATATACAGTGTCAGGATTCACCTCAGAGTCCCATATAGGCAAGACCAAAGCTTAACCCCTGTGCTGTCTCTGACCCCCATGTGAAACTCCTTTAAAGAAAAACGTTTCTCTTCAGTATCTTCTTTTTTTTTTTTTTTTTTTTTTTGCTTTTTGGGTCGCACCTGGCGATGCACAGGAGTTACTCTGGGTTCATGCACTCAGGAATTACTCCTGGCGGTGCTCAGGGGACCATATGGGATGCTGGGAATTGAATCTGGGTTGACTGCATGCAAGGCAAACGCCCTCCCCGCTGTGCTATCACTCCAGCCCCTCTTCAGTATCTTCTTAAGTTATTTCTATGACAGTATTAGTTAAATAGGTTCAAACATAAAGTTAGGCCTTGAATTCTCGGGCAAGTATGAAAAGATGACTTGACAAATTAGATAGCACACCTATTCAACACATCTGCCTCTTTCATTCCTTGGCAGTGTGTTGAGTGTTTGCTGGATTCTGGGCGTGGCAGTGCAGAAGTGGAGAAGAAACTGGAAAGTCCTGCTGCCTACCACACGGGTGGAATTAGAGGATGTCCTGCTGAGTGAAATCAGCCAGAAGGGAAGAGGCAGATCCAGCATGATCTTTCTCATATGCTGGAATTACAGACAGCAAGGAAACAGTAAAAGGCCAAAGGCAATACAAAGGGAGAATTGAGAACCGATCCACACAAACTGACTTGGTGGAGGTGGAGGGGTAAGGTTGAAAGGGAAGGGTGTTGGGGTCCTGGGGAGAGGGACGGAGGTACACTGGGTATGGGTGTTGTGTTAGAATTATGTTCATGAGAAATCATCACTAACGTATTGTAAATAACAGGATCTCAAACAATTACTCAAATTTTTAAAATAAACTATTATTGGCTAATAGGAGAGAAAGCGGGCCCAGTAGTGTCTCCATTGTGAGACTTGCTGTTACTATGTTTGGCATATTGACTATGTCACAGGTAGATTGCCAAGCTTTGCCATGCGGGTAAGATACTCTCGGTAGCTTGCCGGGCTCTCCAAGAAGGGCGGAGGAATCGAACCTGGGCTGACTGGGTTGGCCACAGGCAAGGCAAACACCTTACCAGCTGTGCTATCGCTCCAGCCCTGCTTGAGCAAACCAATGAACAATAGGAGGGCAGTGCTACAGGACAATACTACAGTGCTATAGGAGAGAAAGAGGGAGAGAGAGCCAGAGAGCAGTAGAGAGGCCATTCTTCACTGTAAAATGGGCAGCTGTCGGGGAAAGAGCAAGAGGGCAGTGAGGTCAGGAGGAGCGTGTCCATGCATCGCTGGATGCTCAGGGAAGCTGAGGCCTTGACAGGTGACTGGAGGGAAGCCAGGAAAGCTGGTGCAAAGGGATTGGAGGAGCAGCGAGGCAGAGTGTGGCGTGTGGCGGCCAGCTCATGAAGGGCACAGAGACCATTTGTAAAGCTTTGCCTTTGACATGGGATGTAGACTCCTCTGGGAAGCTTTGAACAAAGGGCTGGTGCACTAACTCATGGGCTGTGTGCTGATGGAGGTGGCGGGGATTGGTTGGGGGTACGTGGCCATTCACATTTACTCAGCAGGAAGGTTCTGTGCAAGCCCAGTGGTATTGAAGACCAGTGGGGCTACACTCCCACAGATGGGGCACCCAAGGATGCCAGGCATACACTCCAGGCCCTGGGACAATCTCTCTGGGCCCTGCCTGGCATTTTAATGGGATCCTTCAGGCATCCGTGTCAAAGAAGCAGGGTACAACCTAGCTAGCTGAGGTTCTCAAACATTCCCCACGTGCCACCCCTCCTTCAATCACACTGTACAACACAGGTGAGCACTCCCAGGATTGGTGGTGCTTGGGGGACACTGCAGAATGATTGTCAGGTGCCCCGGGGGCCCCTTGCAATGATTCTTGGTTAGTAACTCAACTAGAGGACATGAGGAGTCAGGTGTTGATGAGGTGTTGAGGTGCTGGGTCCCCAGGTCCATACCTGGCAGTGCTTGGAGTCTCTAGGACTGGATCCAGTGATGCTCAGAGGACCATGTGGTGCCCAGGACTGAACAGAGATCAGCAGCATGCAAGGTCTGCATCTTAGTCCTGTGCTGCTCCTCTGGCCCCGAAGACTATTTCTTAGAATGATAATGTGATATGAGCTAAAAATGATGCTGACTTAGTCAAGGGTAGAGGTTCCTCTTCCCATCCAATAAACATGTCTAAGTTACATCGAACAGTTGATCCCGTTACTGGTTAGATTGAGCTATTTCTTGCTGGTTCCTAGGAAGTTCTCACACTGGTTATCAGAACATACTGGATGCATCTGAATAAGCAGTAAGACTCCGAGCTTAATAGACCCCTGTAAATAGAGAGGGTAACTATGTCCAAGCTTCTATCTATCCAATATGGTGATACTCTTAGAAGCAACTCAACCTTTCAAAATCTCCATTAGCCATGGGCTGGGAACTTGAACCAAGTAGAATCTGAGCACTTCATCGTCTCTAAGATACACTCATCTAAGTATCCTTGACCCACTTGAGATATCTATCTTGGGACAGTAGATGAGTTGTTCAATTGATTCTGCCTTGTCTCTATACCCGCAAAACAAAGTTTTGGGCTGGATAGTACAGTGGGAAGGGCACTTGCTTGTATTCAGCCGACCTGGGTTTGATCCCTGATACCAGATATGGTCCCCGAAGTCCAGACAGGAATGACCCCATGCACAGAGCCAGAGGCAGGAATAAGCCAGGTGTGTCCACAAAACCAAAAACTAAAAAACTACAATCCCCTCAAAAAATCCCAAAATAGAGTTTCTTTTTCTTTTTGTAATACCAGTTTTTAAAGATTGTCTGCTTTTGTGTGGCCACGCATAGTTGAAATAGGCTGTGAATCATATTCACCAGAACACACAGATGTCTGTGTGTGCATTGTACATGGGCCCACACACTCTTGTTAATTGGAAATGAACTGTGAACATTTTAGCCACGGAATATATTTAATTCCTTTATCTTAAAATCATCTTTATAATAACTGTACATCTTTATACATTGTTTTGCAATAGCTTGCATTATTCATTTTATATTTTTTATTATTCATGTTAAATACAAATTATATGTTTATTTTATTTTTTTGGTACCAAAATGCCTCTATTACATCAGGCTTTAATGTCTTCCTATGAATTTTATAAGGGTCAGCATAAAAATGTCCATTTGAGCATGACATTGATTTTAATAAAAATATAGATATTAATGATTAATATCTACAATAATAATTACAATAAATATTGACATATTGAAAGAACATATAAGCAAAACTACATGTCTAAATACAAATGTTTTCATTCTTGGGCCAGAGAGACTGTGTAGTGGGTATAGTACCATGTATGGTCCCCCCTGAGCATAGCCAGGCGTGATATCTGAGCACAGAGTCAGGAGTAAACCTCGAGAACCTCTGGGTATGGCCCCAAAATCAAATAAATTAATTAATTTAAACCATGTCAATTCATTATCAAATAAACAAAAACTGATATAATCCAGCACATTTCCTTTTATGTTCTATTAGGAAATTTTGACTACATTTAGCGTTCATGAGTAGTAATACTTGTAAAGTCATATTTTAAAATCAATTTTAATTGATTTTGCTTTATTTTTCACTTTTAATTAACTTTTCACTTTGCTTGATTCTGTAACTATATTCCCTCCACATATATTTGTTGAGTATTTGCTCTATAAGCTCTTTCTAAGTCTTATGAGTATAGTCAGGGTCCCTGTTTTCATGACCCTTATTGCTAGTATTTAGGAAAGAACCTTATAGCCCTGAAGAAAACATTTTCTGAAGTAAATAGTCTTTTCTATATTTCCTCTGATGAAATACATATGTGTGTATAGACACATACACACACACACACACACACACACACACACACACACCCATACTCGCAAAGTTCTCACCTTTATCTTTTCTTTCTGAAAAGAAACAATTATATCAAACTTATGTCCACACTTTGTGGTACCAAGGGTCTTTCTGCTCCTGAAAACAGTAAGTATTAGCCATACATGGACTCTATCGGCAGCCAACTTCTATTGGGGGAAATTCACCTGCAAAGAATTCATACTCCTTACCAGGCCATTGGACCCCGTTCCTTAAAAGCAAGAATCATTGAGAACCAGACTGCAAAGCCACTGCAGAGAGCATGGCAATTGCCCCATGTGGACAGATCCACAAAACAGTCCGTATTCACAAGGCCCCACCACAGGCTGGAGAACTGGAAGGGCTGTTTATGTAGGTGCTTATGGTATCAGATTTCGCTTGAGCAAATGAATTTGAACTATAGATCCCAGTCTCTCCTGTCAAACAGTGGTCCTACTTGTTAAGGAAAAGATACACCCACATACGTGCGATGAAGACGGGGTTCCCTCCCACACACTTAAGTTCCCTCGAAGAAATAAGAATTGTAAGTTTTAAGATTTCCGGGGGACAGGGGGTGGGTGGGAGGGATACTGGGATCAGTGGTGGTGGAGAATGAGCACTGGTGGAGGGATAGGTATTTGATCATTGTATAACTAAAACCCAAGCACAAAAACTTGTAAATCTACAACTGTACCTCATGGTGTTTCACTAATAAAAATCTAAATTAAAAAAAAAAAAAAGATTTGCTTTCGCTTCTAAATACCCACTTTTGTGTCTTCATTTATTTTCACTTTCAAGATCCCTTCCCCCTTCCTTTTTATTGATTTTTTTCCCCATTGCTCACAATACCATCGGGTGCAGCTTTACACCTTCATATGTGTAGAAGATTTTCCACACCCACCACCAAATGTTCAGTGCCAGTAGCCCCCTTAAGACTTCTCTAGCTCTCCTTCCTCTCCACCTTCTGATAACCTCAAGAGTTGGCACTGAGTCTAGGAGATAGTTTTGTGGGGTTTTTTTTTTGCCAGTTTATGTTAGTTATTCATATCCCAAGATGAGCAAAACATCTGCTGGTTGTCTTTCAGTTCTTCATTTCACTTCATTTATGTTGTCCCAAATGGTGCAATGTCATCTTTCTAAATGGCAGAAGAGCATCCTACAGAGAACAGACCACAGCTTCTTTATCCAGCCATCTGTTAGTGGGCATTTACGCTGACTCCACATCTTGACTTCTGTGAACACAGGGGTACAAGTATCCTTTTAATTTGTATTTTCATATCCTCTGGATAGATAAATGCCTGGGAATGGTATTTCTGAATCATATGTTTTTTCCCATTATTTAAAAAGAAATAGAATGATCATAATGAAAGAGGTTTCTTTAGTTTTGGTGCTTGTTCCAAGTGATACGTGGGGTCATCAGATCTACACCCAGAGGTGTTGGGTATGGGTATAAAGCAGTGGGAATCAAACTCAGGGCCAGGTACGTACTTTTAATCCTTGAGATATCTCCTTGGCTCCTGAAAAGGGATTTTGTTTTTCCTTGGAAAGGTTGATCATCAGGGAAAATATCTCTGAGAAGATTGCATGGAAAAGTAAAGGAAGTGGCACTAGCATGTTTAATTTTATAATATTTATTTTGCATAAACAGTAAGGGAAAGAGCTCTCTAGACACCGGAAATAGCATGCATACAAAGCCTGAGTAGCGTGGACACGACACTTGTCATCTTGGAGGATCTGAAGCAAAGCAGTGGGACTGAGGAAATGAGAGGAGGCAGTGAGAATCAGAAGAAAAGGCTGACTGACATAATGAGGAGGGAGGTGTGACTCATCAATCAGATTTTTGCTTTCAGTTCACTTTGTCCTAAGAAGACCATTGCTAATAGTATTTTTAGAGCAGAGACAAAAGGCTGGAGAGACAGTACAGTGGATAAGGCACCAACCTCACCCATGACCAACCCAGGTTTGATCACCAGCACCATACATGGTTCCCCAAGCAGGATCAGGAATGATCCCTGAGCACAGAGCCAAGAATAATCCCTGAACACTGTAGGATGTGACCCAAACACTGAGAAGAGAAAAAAAAGACATGAACTGAATTCTTCTTGACATTTTTAGGAGACCGTGAAGGGGTAATGGGTCACTTTCTGAGGTGTTCAAGACCTTTTCCTGGCTCTGTGCTCAGGAGTGATCCCTGGGCTTGTTCAGTGCTGGAGACTGAACCAGGAGTTGAACTTGAACTCTTTAGTGACCCTTGTCACCCCAAAGCTCTCCCTGGCAGAGCTGGATGAACTAAGGGGCCATGTGGAGGTTGCCTTACCTCATACTCAGTCAAAGGAAGAAGAGCAGAGACCATGGAAGAGATGGTTCCCGAACTTGAATTCCCCAGCAATTTTCCAATTCATTTGGAGACCCTAATGGAGTCAAATCCAAGCGTTATAGTAACAGTACAGGAAAGATAGTCATGGCTTGTGACTGTTTAAGAGAATAATTAAACCAGGGCCTGAGAAATAGCACACAGGAATAGCGTGCAATGCCCTCAACCACATGGTACCCCTGCACAGCCGGGCAACCTCTGAGCACAGAGCTGGGAGTGAGCCCCACACAAACACCAATAGACAAGGCCCTAAAACCCAAAATAACAATAATTAAACATATGGAATTTTCAAGCTGAAAGATCTGTAGACGCAATTGATTCTAACACCCTCATCTTACAGAACAAATAATATCCAAGGGAGGGATAAGGCTCTGAGTCTTCATTACGATGGGGGAAATGTTTTTCTCCTGGTTTAGGATCAAGCCCCAGTGAATTTTCCTATGCTGACTTTCCACATGGATTTACTCAAACAATCCTGAGACTTGAAGGTGTTAAGTTTCTGGTTAATGCACAGAAGAAGAAAAAAGCCCAAATGAAATGTCAAAATCATATCAAAGATTGAAATAAGAACGTGTTTGATATTTCAAGGGAGGAATAAAAGGGGAAAGGGTTATTTTTAGCTAAGTAACCTATTGTTCTGAGATTTGAGAAGTTAGTATGGGAACAAAGAGCAAAGAAATGAACATCATTAGTTTCATGCGCTCGCTGGGAAAAAAATATTTTCATAACTTTAATTTCTAGCTGCAGACCAGGCAGCAGAAGTTACGGGGATCTTTGGAGCTGAGGTCTCCACTCTGCCCTCAGAGCTGGAACAGGCTCCTGAGAAACATTGCAGCCACCAACAGGAGCAGAGGTAAGCTGACAATGAAAGACCTAAATCAGGGGAAGTTGATGGCACAGGAACAGAAGTTTCCTAAAAAAGGAATTACCCACTTTTTTGGTCTTGTGGTTTGCAAGGGGGGGATGGGGGGTGGGAGGGATGCTGGGACCCGTGGTGGTGGAGGATGGGCGCTGGTGGAGGGATGGGTACTTGATCAGTGTATGACTGAAACCCAAGCACAAAAATTTGTAAGTCTACAAGTGTACCTCATGGTGTTTCACTAATAAATAAATAAATAAATAAATAAATAAAAAGGAATTACCCAGAGGTTAATGAAATGAGGCGATAAGTCAAGGTCAACCATTGTGGTGGCTGATGGGGTAACCCATCAGACAATAGTCCAATGCCAGAAACAAAATCCTCATCCCAGCACATGGTTGCTTATCGTGGGGCCTCAGGCGTGATCTTTATATTTCTTGATGTTTCCTCATTTGTGCATTGGGGGTTTTGGAAATTTATCTGAAACAGCCATTCCCCAAACTAAATACCAAAAACGCAGAGAGCAAAACATTGCCCTTTCCAACCATCCAAGCAACCTGGGAGGAAGCGTAATCACTCCCATTGAAAAGAGAACATCAAGAGAACATCGTGGCTCAATGTTAACTTCAAGACGCCCACGGAGCAGGACGGAGAGTCCTGCTACTCCTACTTTGCCTGATGGGAAAGCGCTCGCTCTTCCACCCTCCAGCTTATGGTTCATCTGCTCCAAACCAATATGGAAGGCAGGGAAGAGGAAAATATCTTTAGGATTTTTATGGCCACATAAAACTCTGTACTGCAAATGTTACTCTATAGAAAATCAATTTAAAAGATAAAAATGGCAGCCATTATACATAAAGTCATGTGAATCTCATCTTATAGCTCTTCCCCTTCACAGTAAAACATATTTTTGAAGGGTTTTCACCCTTTTCTGTCTTGGGGATAGGTATTTAGGGGTCCATTTCAAGGACCAATGCTGAAGAATAAAACAGGCACCAATTTTAAAATACTGAAATCAATGAATCAATGCAGAATTAAAAATACAAGTCCAGGGGCCGGAGCGATAGCACAGTGGGTAGGGTGTTTGCCTTGCATGCGGCCCACCCAGGTTTGATCCCCGGTATCCCATATGCCCCCCAAGCACCGCCAGGAGTAATTCCTGAGTGCAGAGCCAGGAGTGACCCCTGAGCATCGCTGAGTGTGACCCTAAAAAGGCAAAAAAAAAATACAAGTCCAAGCCATGTGTATTAAAACTGCTCCATATTAAGCTTTTCTTAGGAATCATATATTCAAATGAAAAATTTCAGTCATTTTTAAGTGCAAGTTTTAAATTATTTTTGCAGTGTACACACTCGAATTCCCTTGGAACATCAGTGGACATACAGGGCAAGATGCAGAAGCAGGAATGAAGACACAGCATGGGGTCAAGGCACTTGCACAGAGCCCACCGACCCTAGTTCAATCCCTGGCACTGTCTGTGTCCCCCCAAGAACTGTCGGGTGGGGGCCCCAAATCCTTTTCCCCATCCCAAGCTGTAAAAGCAGTCATAAGGCTGAGAGTTCATCAGCAAAGTCAGAAATACTGTAGGCATGTGACCGGAACGACAGTAACCAAACTTAAAAATGTGTCTGTCCAGAAGGTTAGCTAGAGGACCCAAAAGGAGACCCAGTGCTATGGGAGGAGGGAAGCTTACCCTGGTGACGAGCCTGAAACTCAACTATGAATGGCCATGTAATCCCGGTACCTTAATATTCAATACAATCTTCTTTTTCTTTCTTTCTTTTTTTTTTTAAAAAGCACATGGGGCTGGAGAGATAGCACAGCGGGTAAGGTGGTTGCCTTGCACGCAGCCGACCCGGGTTCGATTCCCAGCATCCCATATGGTCCCCTGAGCCAGGAGTAACCCCGTGTGCATCTCCGGGTGTGACCCAAAAAGCAAAAAAAAAAGCACAAACTGGCACAGTGGAGGCATCTGCTGGAAAGAGACCCCACAGCATGGTCTCAGGGAATATATTGAGTATGTCTCTGGGCTGCTTACATGGGAAGTTTGGGCTTTCTAGAGATTAGGCTATTGTGGCGGGTGGGTGAGCAGGAGACCGTCGCCCATTCCAATCACAGAGCTGAGGAATAGTGGGTGCCTGAAGGCTTCTGGGCACAGCTATTACACTAACAGGGTCAGACTCATCCATCAGACACCCTCGATATGAGAATTAAACTAGGCGTCATTTTAGGGGGGTTCTGCTAGAACACTTTACATCCTTCCATAGGGAAGAGTTTCCCCACCTCCTCATTTCTTTACTCTAGCATTGCTTTTCTGGTCATTTCTATTAGCCAGCATTTCTCCAATAAGCTGCAACCAGTTACTATATCAATTCAATTTCATGCCTCCGACTGGCCAGTGGAAACTCCTCCCAGACAGTCATTCGTTCATTTTGTTATCATACTTTCCTGACAAGAGGTTCAAGGATCATCCTGCACTTCCCCAGCTCCCGACATGGAATCAGGGGTCAGAGAGGACAACAGTTACAGTGCATGCATTCAGCTGACCCCGCTTCCACCCCCAGAATACCTATGGTCCTCCAAAAGTCGCTTCTGAGCACAGAGCAAGAAATAAAACCCCTAAGCACCTCTGACTGTGGTCTCAAGCACCATCCCCCTAAAATTTCTAAGCCTTAGAAATTGCCCTAGCTACTTTAGAAAGAGGATTATATGACAAAATCAAGGTCTTTGGCCACTCAATTTGTCCATTGCTTCTGAGTTATGAATGAAGACAGCTTTGGAAAATATATGTGTTTTTGTGCTACAGCTATGGAAAATATATATGTTTTTGTGCTTATATGTATAGTCTACCTAGTCATGGTAGACTGGTATGTATAGTATATACATACTATATACTATACATACATATACATAGTATATAGTATGTATATACTATACACTATACATACTATACATACTATACGTACTATATATACATACTATATACTATACATACATATACATAGGGCTGGAGCGATAGCACAGCGGTAGGGCGTTTGCCTTGCACGCAGCCAACATGGCTGACCCGAGTTTGATTCCTCCGCCCCTCTCGGAGAGCCCGGCAAGCTACCGAGAGTATCTCGCCCACACGGCAGAGCCTGGCAAGCCACCCGTGATGTATTCGATATGCCAAACACAGTAACAACAAAGTCTCCAATGGAGACGTTATTGGGCCTGCTCGAGGGCCTTTACATATACATATATACTTTAAAATATTTCTATAGTTTTAATTTTTTAAATGTACACACACATACATGAGTAATGCCTATGTAAGCACTTACATATGTATATCATTAAAAATTATTTTAAAAATGATTGCCTACTTTTTGTTTTAGGGTCACACTGCTGCATCGTTTCGGGCTTACTCCTGACTCTATGTTCAGGGATCACTCTTGCAGTGCTCAGGGGACCATGTATGGGGCTGAGGATTGAATCTGCGGTCAATCATATGCAGGAAAGGTGCTTTACCTCCTGAATTTTATCTGTGGCCCCATTTACACTCATTTTTAATCAGTGCAAACCATGGGGAGGCAGGTTATAACGTCATTGCTTTCTGTCAGTGAAATTTCTTCTCTGACACCTAGAAACCCAGCTCCTAGCTGGGGGTGGAGCCCAGCAGTAGAGCACTTGCCTTACATGCGTGAGACCCTGGGTTTGGTCCCTGGCACCACAAACACAACACAACAGAAACCAGCTCTTCCTGTACGCGCTGTGCTCCTGTTCTCACCAATGCCATAAGCTGATCGTCCTCCCAGGCATCTCTCTGCCTCGCTGGCCCCGCCATCTCTTTGAGTCTCTGTGTTTTATTTTCTGAGGGAAAGACAGGGGAGGGGGTAGCCTAACGTCCGAAGGACACAAACTACCCAAGGCTGGTGGCTGAAAACAAAACAAAAACCTGCTAAGAGATGAGCAAGTTTGGGGAACCCCTTTTGCTTGCTAAAGGCTTCAGTGCAGAACCAGCTCCCTCCCGTCCCTGCGTCGCCAAGCCTGCCCTTGGCGAGAGGCACAGCCAAGAGCACTGTCCCAATAGGCTCCAAGTCTCTTTCGTTAAAAAAAAAATGACACCAGGCAAATCCAGCACAACTGGTACTGCAGAGTGAAATTCTAGGTAGTTCTGCGGGTGCCTGTTCCAGGCAGTTGGGTCTCTCTGCTGCCCCCTAGCAGCCTACATGAGCGGTGCGGCTGGCGAACGGGCAGGGGCCGGGTGCTTCAGACCAGCCAGGACCCAGGGAAAAGGCGGATTCTGTGGTCACGAGTGGAACGAAGAGGAAGAGTGTCAGGCCAGGGAGCAGGAAGCAACATACACTTTGTTTCAAGATCTTTAAGGGACTGAAGAGGTAACACAGGACTTAAAGCATTTGATTTGCACGCAACTGACCCGGGTTCAATTCCGGCACCCCATGTGATCCCGGGTGCCCTGCCTGTGTGTGACCCCAAAACCAAACTAAATAAAGGTCTTCATGGCACAGTAAACTGTTGGGTGGGACGTGAACCATCATCCAATACACCACTGATGGGAACTGTAACCCAAACTCTATTCCAGGCTGCTGTGTCCTCTGCACAGACACGGCTAGACACAGTCATCCCCAAGAACTGGAACCCAGCACCCTCACCTGGGCACGACGGAGCCCTGGCACCGATCAGGACATCCAGAAGGAACATCTTCCAGTGACTCTCCCATCCAGCCAGGAAACGCCCATCTCGGTGGCTGAACGCCCTACACATGTGGCTCCAGCTGGGAGGGAGGAAGTGACGCTTTGCTCCTGTGGACTCTGGACCACGCAAGGAGAACACTCAAAGGTGGCTTCGCAGAAAGTCTAATGGACAGTATTGTAAATCCGGGACCTCCAAAGGTTGAAAGCTTGCTACAGGTAAGAGTGGGAGGTGGGCGCAGGAGGGGGCAAGGTGTGTGTGTGGGGGGGCGGGGGGAATGCAAAGGGTTATTAGGATAGAGAAGGACTGTAATAGTTAGAAATGATCTCTCTGGGCAAGAACTGAGTGTTGAAAGAAGGTAAAGGGATATACCATAGCCTTTCAGTATCTGTACTGCAAACTATAATACCCAAAGTGGGGGGGGGGAGAGAGAGAGAGAGAGAGAGAGAGAGAGAGAGAGAGAGAGAGAGAGAGAGAGAGCCTACAGTAGAGGTGGGGAAAGATTTGACAAGGACATTGGTGGCCAGAAATATACACTGGTGGAGGGACCGGTGTTGAAACACTGTATCAGTGACTGAAACCCAATCGTGAGTATCTCACTGTGATTCGATGAAAAAAAAATAAATAAATCCGGGACTTTAATAAAAACTGGTTTAAAAAAAATAAAACAAAGGCAGGCACCTTCCAGGCCCTCCCTACCTGTCCCGAGTCAGAAAAATCAGTGGCCCAAGGGCCAGAAATATTGCCCCATAGATAGAAGCCTGTTTCATGAGCTGAGGAAGAAGGCAGCTGGAATAAAGAAGGAATCACTAAGTCAATGATGGTTGGAGGAATTGTTCAGGATGGGAGATGTGTGCTGAAAGTAGATAATGGTCCAAACATGATAACCTCTCAGTATCTGTATTGCAGACCATAATGCCCAGAAGTAGAGAAAGAGTATGGGGGAAACTGTCTGCCATGGAGGCAAGGGGAGGTTAGGAAAAGGGAGGTATACTGGGAATATTGGTGGTGGAGAATGTGCACTGGTGGAGGGATGGGTGTTTGATAATTGCATGATTGAAACTCAAACATGAAATCTTGTAACTGTATCCCACGGTGATTCATTTAAAAAATATTAAAAGAAAGAAAGAAAGAAAAATCAGTGGCCATTCCCGCCCCCTCTAAGTGGTGAGCACCTTCAGGTGACCCCTGAACTTGACCGTCACCCCCAGGACGGCCCCAGAGTGGCGCTGCGGGAACTTGGCCGCCTGGAGCGTGTGGCCCTTTGGCCCCGGACGCGACGACGCTGCAGTTCCTGGGCCGAGGGAGCGACCGTGTCGGACGGGTCCTCGGGTGGCTTTCGTTTAAGGCGCGGGAAGCTGTCCCCGCGTTCGGGGGATGGGGTGGGGGGCCGTGTCGCTTCCCCTTTGGCCAACTCCGCCTGGGTCCCGCGCGGCCCGCGGGGTGGCCAAGGGGGGGCCCGGCAGGGGTCGCTGCCGGCCCGGAGGAGGAACGGAGGGAGCTTGGCCGGCGCTGCCCGTTGGCTTTGACATCACACGAAGCTCCTCCTTGCACGCATACATCAGACACACACACACACAGAGACACGCGCGCGCACCAACACACACGCACTCGCACACACGCGCGCGCGCGCACACACACATACACACACACACCCCGGCCGCGGATCCTCGGGGCCCAGACCCGCCTGCTCCCCCAGCCCACCCCGAGCGCGTGGGTGCCGGCCGCGCGCCCCCCAGCACCCAGCCCCGGCCCGACCCGCCCCGCGCGCCCCGCGCTCCGGAAAGCCCGCGCGCTCGGCCGCCCCGCGGCGCCCGGGGACCCCCGACTCCCTTCCCGGGGCTCCCCCACGGCCACCCCTATGCGCTCAGCGGCCGCCGCCGCCGCCGCCCGCGCCCGGCCGCCCCCAGCGCCCGCTCCCCGGGGCCGCGGCGGGGCAGCGGCGCGCGCGGGCTGAGCCGGGAAGGGGCCGGGCCCGGAGCGCGGGCGGGCGCGGGGTTGGCCGCGGCCCCGGGGGCAGGGCCGGCGCGGCGCGGCGCGGCGCGGCGCGCGGGGGGCGGGCGCGGGGGGCGGGCGGGGGCCCCCGGCGGGCTCCAGATGGCAATGTCTCTGGTCGGAGCGTGCCGCAGCCTGGCCCTCTCAACATGGCTGCTGTCCTTTTGTTTCGTGCATCTGCTGTGCCTGGACTTCACCGTGGCCGAGAAGGAGGAGTGGTACACCGCCTTCGTGAACATCACCTACACGGAGCCCGCGCCGCGGCCCGAGCTGCGCACCGAGAAGACCGAGTGCGGGCGCTACGGGGAGCACTCGCCCAAGCAGGACGCCCGCGGCCAGGTGGTGCTGGCCAGCCCGGCCCACGACCGCCTGGCCTGCGACCCCAACACCAAGTTCGCCGCGCCGGCCGGCGGCCAGAGCTGGATCGCGCTCATCCCCAAGGGCAACTGCACGTACCGGGAGAAGATCCGGAACGCGTTCCTGCAGAACGCCTCGGCCGTGGTCATCTTCAACGTGGGCTCCAGCACCAACGAGACCATCACCATGTCCCACGCGGGTAGGTGGGCGGCCCCGGCCCCGGCGGGGGTGGGCGCATTTGCCCTCCTGATGCGCCGACCTCCCCGAATCCCCGACCCCCGCGCGATCCATCACCGCCGCCCCCAGCAGCAGCAGCGGCGGCCGCCTCCGGGGTGTCGGGGTGGGGGACGAGTCGGGGCTGCGCGCGAGCCTGAACTTCTGCTCCGAGTCGCTTCGTAGGGGGCTTGGGGGGGGGCGGGGGACAAGACGGGGGACTGACAGAATGCGGGGGGAGTGCAAAGTGCGGGTCTTCTTAGCTGGGCCGCGGCGGAGCCGAGGAGCGCGCCCCGGGGCGCGCGGGGCGTTTCGGGGGGGCGCAGCGCAGCGCGGGGCTCGGGTGTTGGGCTCGCCCCGCACCTGTTCCGAGCGGGTAGATCCGGTGACAGCCCAGCTCTGGGTGTGGGCATCGGGTCCGCCGCCGTGTCCGCGTCTGGGGAGCCGCGGCCGGGAAGGGTGACCGTGCTTGGCCGCTCTCCTCCAACCCACCCACCCACACACACTTCCCCGGACGCCCTGCGGACCTTTGCCAAGCCAGGGTTCGGCTTTTCGTGGGGGATTAAGGAACTCTTAACCCCCTGCTGGAGTTGACGCACGTTGCAATATTAAAAAGTCCGGGGCTCTGCCAAGCTGTCATCCGGGGAAGCCGACGACAGGCAGGATAAATAATAACAACCCTGCCTAGGCGAGGGGGGGAGGGGGACGGGGTGGGCGGCAAACTAACCCCCCCCAACCCATCTGTCTCAACCAGTGTTCACCTTTGCCTGGAGTGAGGCGGGGGCTTTCGGGGCGTTCCTAACCCCCCAAAGCGTTTCTTCTGGTGACCACGAGTCAAAGTAGAAAAGATCAACTTGTCTTAATCATCACCGGGGGGGGGGGGGGGAGCTTGACCTGGACGTGCAGAGTATTTACATGTCCGCCTGACATAGCAATACTGCCATGGGAGCGAAAAAATAAATAAAATAAAATACAAACGCAAAGGAAAGTCCCCTGCGAGCTTGGCTGCCTAAGCACTCAGGGCTTTGGCAGCCCCAAGCTGCCTGGCGCTAGTTTCTGCGTGATTTGGGAACGCAAGCCCATTGGTAGCAGCCGTGGCCTCCGGAAGGTGGGAACGGTATGCGCTCTCTGACCCCTCCACTCCTAATCAAAACCACTCCTTTCTTTAAAGGCCAGATCTTAAGCGCCAGAATACATGGTTATTCAGCTACCATGAACCACCAAGTTTTGGCTGTGCCTGTGTGTTTGGGGGTGGGGGATTGTTGGGGACCCAAGGGGACACCAACAGGTGGTGCGGGAAATGGTCTGTCTTTCTATTACAGTAATGGCCTGTTAAGGCCAGGAAAAAAAATGCAGTGTGTCGGTTCATAAGGAAGGAAGGCAGGTAACTGCTTAGAAAAGTTCAGATGGGGGATTTTAGGAATCTTGTGCCTAACAGTTTTACAGGGGCAACAATTGTCCTATGAGCTTCAGTTCTAGGAAAGTCATTTGTACTCTGAATACTTGCAGATTAGATCAAGTATTTCTAAGGAAGCATTTTTAACCTTGAGGGTGGGGAGCAGTAAGCCAAGGAGATATTTTGGGAGCTTCAGACTCCAAGAAGCTTGTTAGCTGACTATGGCATTCTTCAAATGTTTCTTTGTGCATCTGCATGAAATCTCAGACTGGCTTTTTTAACCACGGAAGAGGCATCTTTTCATTCTTTCTCTCCTCCTTTCCTTTCCTTCTCTTTCTTCTCTTTTCTTTTCTTGACTAGAGGGTTCTCCAACTAGTCAATGCCAACACATTGCATCCATTAATAGCCTGTTTTAAAAGAAGGCAGTAAGCTGATTTTTCCACACAAACGACGCTTGATTAAGACGCAGTGGGAGAAAAGTAAGAGTTTGGGAGTTAAAGGCTAAAAGTGAGTTCACTGCTGTCTCGGTCTGCTTCCAAGCACTGTGTTAGCGTGGAATCTTCTCTCGGCCAGGAAGTTTGTGCGTGTTCTCATATGGCACAGCGCTGTGTGAGGCAGGGTGGCACTGGTTTCCCCCACAACCTTCATCATGTGGCGATGGAGACCTGGGAGCTTGGAGAACCCTCCTTTGCTCTTCGGTTCTTCCCAGCACCCGTCTGGCTGTCAGTGTCTCAGGCTTAGCTGTAATCGAACGTTTCCTCGATAAATTTGAGGTAGATTCTTCAATTCATTTTAGCCACACGTCAAATATCCTCATCTTGTGACCATAGGCTGCACTCTTTTAGAGGAGACTTTATTAACTATGTGAGTAAATAGTTTATTATTTATTAACTATATAAAGAAATAATTAAATCTATTTAACTTCAAATTCTAGTTGACACTGGTCAACTTTGTATTATGATGATTTTTTGGATTGGGGGGAGTCACCCCTGCACCTGGCTCAGGGCTTAGTCCTGGCCTTGTGCTCAGGGATCACTTCTGGCGGGGACTAGGTTACCGAAAGTGGTGTTGAGAACAGGACTGGGGTCAGCCGCGCGCAAGGCAAGTCCTTGACCTCTGTGCTATCTCTGACCCCTCGCTGGTGAACTTTTAAACTAGAGTCTCAGGATTAATGCCAGTCTTTGCTTTAAATACACACACATATATGTATATTTTATATATGTATATATATTTAAATCTCACCCCTCCTCCAAATCCTTTATTTTTTGTAGCTGATTGTTGTTTCAGGTGAGGAAAAGGTCTGAGTTGAGAGCTAGGGAACCCAGCATGTATTATTCATTCATTTGGGGAGTTATGACCCAACACAGACAGAGACTTATAATTCAGTTCACGATCACATATTTCCCCTTCCCCTTTCTATAGAGGGTTTCCTCCTGCCCTTCTATATTTTTTTTCTTTTTTTCTGCTTAAATGACATTATGTTTCTTTTTCTGCTTACGGTGACATTATGTTTCTGCCACTTCCACAATAATGAATCCTCATTCACAAGAATGTATATTCTCCTAGAATAGAAGAGTAATTTTAACATGTAACCAATTTTTAAAAAAACTTAAAAAAAAAAGTAACATCTGTTTTGCTGGAGCTCACTGATGCCAGACAGTGCATGGCTTTGGCTCCTAATAGCCCTCACCATTCATTAAAGCCTGTGCTCTCAGCAGCTGTCCACCCCCAACCCCCTGTCCCCCAGGCTGAGGCCATCACTAACCTACTTTCTGCCTTTGAGGGCCTGTGCCGGACTCATCATAGAAATGTGTCCTGTGATAGGATGCTGGGAGAGGGACCTCTTTTAAGGATGGGGACTGTTTTCGGTTCTCCCGGGACTATTAGGGTGATCTGTCCTTCATGCCTTTTAGTTGCCAAACTTTAGTCCTGAGAGATGGAAATGTGTGTCTTTTTCAGGTTACTACAAATCCAGAATGCTACTCTGGAAATTCATGTGCATTTCTTGTGGGTCTGTATCTGCGCAGATCAGAGTTATTGGGTTGTAGGGTGTCTTCATGCTTCAGTTTCTAGGGGGAACTGCCCCACCATTTTCTGGTTTGACTCCATCTTTCATCTTCCCCACAGTCAATCAGACATCCCTCGTTTCCACACCCTCCTCGGCACAAATTATTATCCATAAATAAGCAGATCTGTATATATTGCTGCCTCGGTGAGAATCTTCTGAGAGGCCTTAATTTGCATTTCCCTATTGAGAAATAGTCCATTTGGAAGATTCTTAGTCCTTCCCTGCATTTCCTTTTCTTCTTTTCCCCCATGCTAATCATTGTTATTTTTTTCCACCTGAACTTTCAAGTCAGACACTTTTTTATCCTAAGGAAGGTAGGAAGAGGCTGAGAAAATAGAATCCCCTTTAGCAACCAAAAATAGCATCAGAACTAGAGGGATAGATAGCTTAGCAGGCTGAGCTCATGCTTCATGTACAGAAGGTCTGAGTTTCTTCCCAAGCCCGGCGTGGACCCCTGAGCACTGCCAGGAACAACCCCCAAGCCTAGAGCTGGGAGTAACCCCTGAACACTGCTGGACATAGGTCCCAAACTAAGATAAACCTGCAAACACAAGTCACATGTGGACCTGAGAGGTCCCCGGTTCCCTCTGGCAAGAAGAGGGAAACTCTTGGACCATTGTCTCTAACCTTATACCTGAGTCGCAGAAATGAAAACCATTGCACGTGGGGCTGGAGAGACAGTACAGGTGATAGGGCATTTGCCTTGCACGTGGCTGACCTAAGTTTGATCTCTGACGCCCCATATGGTGTCCAAACCTTCCAGGAGTGATCCCTGAGTGCAAAGCCAGGAATAAGCCCTGGACAACACCAGATGTGACCCAAAAACGACACCAAAACAAAGCAACGGTTGCCTATACTCGTGTTCTATGTGTGCATCTTGAAATCTAATAACACAGATGTTTGATCCAGGAGTTCAGCAGCAATAACCTTGTGTTGAGCAGGAAGAAACTTTTTTCACAGTGCGGCATTTGGAAAGGAGAGAGGCAGAAAGACAGACAGACAGACAGACAGACAGAGAGACAGATTCTGGTGTGTGGCCTGTGGCAGAGCAGTTCAGGCCCAGAGGGATGGGCGGGACTCAGCCCCAGCTGGGGGAAGCCACGGAAGTGGTCATGCAGACACAGGGTTGCCAGCCAGATGCAAGTGCTCTCTGCAGCTAGGCAGATGTCTGTTGGCAGAACTTTCCAGAAGCATTTTTTGAGTCACAGCAGATGAGTGTAGCAGCTACAGCCAACCACTGTATTGTGTCCAACCCAGTTTTAGGTGTCATGAGCCACTTCCTCCACCTTTTAAGACTCCAGCCCTGCGTTCTGGGAGGCGGAGGAGAGAATCCAGCATCTGGCTGGGGAGTGAGTTAAGAGGAGACTCAGTGATGCGCCCCAGCAGCCAGGCTAACTCTCATCTTTCTGGTGCAGTTACCTCACAGAGACACCACTGAGGCCCTGGCCATAGTGGGAAAGAGCTCGTGTCCCTGCCGGGGACTCCAGTGTCTGTTGTTGCTTGTGACTGAAGGGTTCTTGGCTGCCAATG